TTAGCGCCTACTTTTTGCAGTTAAACGGTCCATTGACACAATTAACATTGATTAATTTTCATTAGTAAGTAGCTTGAACAACTGGTTGATTAGTATCCGAATCATTCTCATTCATTCACTTTTAGCAAAAGTTGACGTAAAATGGAATTCGTAATATCTGAACGCGGAAAAAAACATCTTTGTCTCGACGGTTATAGATACCTTGAAAAAAACCAACTTAAGAACGGTCTCATTAAATGGCAATGTACATTTGGAAATTGTAGAGCAGTGGGTTATTTGGACGAACAGCAAGAATTTACCTTAAAAACCGAGCACGCTCATTTACCGAGCCCCTCAAAAATTCAAGCCAATAAATTTGCTAATGAAGTTCGAGAAAAGCCGCAAACACCGGTAACGCTCCCCGACAGATTGTTTTCAACGCCCAAACTGACCTGCCTCTTTATGCAGCGCCCACAATACCGAGTTACTCAACATCCTTTCGAAGTATAAACCGAATCAGGCAGCAAGCTTTGGAAACAATGCCAAAACCAAAAAACCTTGAGAGCGTCGACAAAATTCCTGGACCTCTCAAACTCAGACACAGCGGTGATACGTTCCTGTATTTTGATTCTGGTAAGTCGGACAGTCGAGTTTTAGTTTTTGCAACACTACCAGCGCTTGATTTGCTTTCTCAGTCGGAAATCTGTCATTGCGATGGAACGTTTTCAGTGGCACCAGACGTCTTTTACCAAGTTTATAATATTCATGGTGTAATCGAAAACGCAGTTATACCCTTGGTGTATGCTTTGCTGCCCAATAAGACGCATGACACGAAAAACTTTTTGGCTGCTTAGAGCAATTTGGAAAAAAAAAGTAGTCATTGACTTTGAAGCCGCTGTTCGCAACGCCATAAAAAAATGCAGCCTGATACAGAAATTCAATTCTGTTTCTTCCACCTGGGCCAAGCAGTATGGCGCAATGTACAAAAATTTGGTTTTTTGCGCAAGTAAATGGACGATGATGAGTTTCGACTGAATGTCAAAAAAATGATTTGCTTGGCATTCGTTCCCATTGACGACGTTATTTTCGCTTTTGAGGCGCTCCGAAAAGAGGATCCCTCAGAGGAATTCCAGAGTCTATCAGACTACTTCGAAGACACCTATATTGGTGCTTGTCGAGGAAATAGACGCGTCAAACCAAAGTTTGACATTGCCGATTGGAACGTTTTCAATCGGGTGCTCAGCGGAGAACCTCGTACGAACAATGCGTTGGAGGCATGGAATGGCAGCTTCAATAAGTTCGTATCGACAAAGCATCCAGCCCTCCCCAAGTTGATCACACGATTCCAAGATGAGCAAAAAAACGCCGAAATTAATGTAGAGAGACTGATGTCCGGTGATATTATCAGAAAACAGAAGCCAAAGTATTCAATAGCAAATGATAAACTCGTTCAAAACGCAAAAAACTACAATCGAGACGGTATACAGAAGTATTTAAAACTGTGTACCTTCAATGTACATATTTCGTAAAACTTTATGCATAGCAAGTTTGTTTTGATCTTCGAATTTTGTTATTTGATGTTTTACATTTCTTTGGTAAACTGTTGAAAGCCTTCTGACTCTAATCAAATTAGAAAAGTTTTATTGTTTCCTTTTATCTTGTCTCTTTAATCTAAATCGGCCGAATTGTCTTTGGCTGAATTGTCTGAGTTTTTTTGGCTGAATTGTCTGTATTTTAAATCGGCTGAATTGTTTGTGGCTGAATTGTCTCTGCGCCCCGAACTTATATAATAATTACGTATTAAAATGACGTAAGAATTTCTAAAACAAGAGAGAGTTCATTTAGCCGTTTCCGAAATAGCAAACAACTGATTTCTAAAGTAATTGCGTGTTAATGCATTTAATTCCTATCACTTCAAATTTAGCATTTAGCATTGGGGTTCTTGATAAATGTTCATATTGATTAAGTGTTGGGCAAATTGTAAATTTGCCGCGGTTTGTACTTGAAAATCGAAAAACGTCGGATGTTTGCCTTAGAAAAGCTGGTTTTCGGATATATGCAGCATTTTTTGGTTTTTCGGATAATTGACATATCGGATGTTTGCGCCCAGTTCAAACATCCAAAATTATTGTTCCGACTTTCGATACGAAAGTAACGGAGTATATGTGCTCAGGGTGGGTTTTTTCTTCAGACAAATTTCGACTTTTTAACTAGCAATTTTTGACGGAACTTTTTTATATCATTCGAAAGCTATTGTTGTCCTGAGCTTAAATTTGAAAAGATATTTCACCTGTGATTATTTTTCGTAAAGTTATGAGGGTTTAAAGATTGCCGTTTTAGCCATTTTGACCAATTTGGGACAATTAACGCGCGATATAATTCGCGCTATTGACGCGTAATAAGCGGAGATATAATCCGTCTTAGAAATCGTTCCAAATTGGTTGAAAGAAGCTTATTTACCATAATTGATTTGTTACAAGGCGCAAAAACTATTGTTTTGTACTTTATATGGCGTGTGGGGGGATGATTTTCATAGAAAAATTTTCAAATTTTAGAAAACAAGTTTTCATTTTATTTTATTTCATTTAATTTATTTATGTTGTTTATGTTATTACTGCTCCATAAACGTTAATTGGCAGTCGGAACTTTCAGGGCTTCGCCCTGATACGAGCAGTCTTGTTTAATATTTACCTAATAATATGACGCAATAATTTCAAGCACAAGACAACTCAATTAACCGATTTCAATTCATCCGACTCTCAGTTAAAGGTTGTCAGTGGGTGCGCATCGCCGCTTTTCAAATATAAACGAATCAATTTTCCTATAGTGTTAATTTCTTTCGGCTAGCTCGCAACGCGTTGCCGGGACCACCGCGGCGGTCACTATTTTTTTGGCCGATACAGCATCTCTCAAGCAAACGGTAGCAATATTTGTGCCCTGCTTCATAAAAAGTGTCGGATGTTTGCACGGTACTCGCTCAATTAGCTATGAGTCGAGACATGCTTAAAATGTTGGGAATAATTTCGAAGGTGAAATATATGGCGCTATACATTATGCCTTAAATATTTGGCTAGATTTGATTACCAACAGCAGATAGAAGTAGTGGCATCGGCACTGAATTGTTGTCCACACAAAGCTGTTCAGCAGCAGGCATCAAATAAGGTTCACTGGGAACTTCAATCGGAAAATTTTTAGTGTGGTTCGAATCACGACTGAAAGGGCTTTAGTATGATATATCATTCAACCCAGTCCGATCATTATCTGTGGTACATGATTTTCTGTAGAAAACAAAAAGCAAAAAAAAACCTTAACACACCCGAATACAAAATCCTCCCCAGGTCGGAACAATAAAAAAAATTAACTATTTAACATTGAAAAAATTATGAGGTATTCATCATACACACTTTTCACACGTGTTTGAAACACGAATTGAGAAACAATAGTTATGAAAACTAAAATATCTGGGATTTTTTCTCGAAGATTTAAAATAGTGATTTTCGATTCTATACTTGAAATCATTGGCCCCTAACAGGTACGATTACAATGTCTTCCGTAGATTTTAGTACAGCATTGAAAATTGTGGTCAACTGATCCGTTGTTTTAATTGCAACCAGATACTAACCATCCAACTATTTTACTTGCTTCAGGGCTTCAAACTTTGATACCTTCTTCGACTAATCATTAAAAGGCATAGGACTCATTAAGACTATAAAATGAAATTGATTCTTTCCAATCAAAAGGAAAGTCTGTCAGTTTAAAAACTTTACAAATATCTAATGCAAATAAGATAAATTATTATCAATCACATTTCCGTTAGATATTTGTAAATTTTTTAAGCAGGCAGACTTTCGTTCTGATTGGAAAGAATTGATCTCACTTTATAACCCTTCAACATTTTTTTTTCGATGTCAGTTTTACTGAGACTAAAGGATAATACAAAGACTGAGGTTCAAAATTTGAAAAATGATTAGCGCGAAGCAGGGGCGGATCTAGGATTTTCTCGAGGGGGGGGGGGGGGACGTTCGGATTTTCAAAAAAAATTCGAAAATTGAAAATTTTGTCGACCTTTTTTTTAGGTCGACCAAATTGATTTTTCGAGCACTCCCAAAGCACTGTTTTGTCCCTATTTTGGCCAAATTTTCTGCGCCGCAGCCAAAATTTTGAAAAAAATAGGCCAAAACAGGCGTTTTTAGGCACTTTTTGGAAAATTTTGACCAAAAAATTGCGTTTTTTCGGCGCCCCCCCCCCCCCTCAGCAAAATTAGTATATATTGCCGCCAAAAGCGTCTTTAGAAAAACTTTAAGGTTGGTCGGCCAAAACTGGATTTCTTAAAAGTATTAAAGGGGGGACCCTTTGGGTCGGCAGGGGATCGAATCCCTGAGGAAGGGGGAAGCGTCCGCCCCCCGCCCCTGGCGCGAAGCTAATGAATAGCGAAGCAATTTGATTTTAAAAATCTAATTCGAGGATCTACAAAAAAAATTATCGATTTTTTTTGAAAAGGGAACAGGACTTTCCCTGAACCGGGTAAATTTTTACGAAAATTGCACATTTTTGTCTGATTCTAATTTTTTTCTTTGTTACTATACCAGATGGAAAATCGGGATTGATGAAGATATTGTAGCACTAGTCAGGGATTGTGACATCTGCCAGTTGCCAGCAAATTTTTGGGTTTTGAGCGCAGGCATAAAATTATGTATTAGGAAATTAAAACAAAGATAGCCGGTTGCTGTGCAAGTAGCACAGAATGTTTCGACCATAGCATTTAGAGAACTACGGTTTAGATTTTTTTTTCAAATTAAGTAAGCAAATTTTTTAGCTTGTAAGCCTGCTCGCTTGCTTTATTCGCTCGAAATAAAACAAAAAATCAAAAATTTTGAACAGGTTTTTCTCGACACTGGGGACACTTTTTGGAAAGCAAAAAAATACTGAAACGCACCGGAATACAAGGTCCCTCCCCATTTCCAATGGTCGGAGCAATACCAAAATTTAAAGATTTGAAATTGACAACAATATGAGGCATTCATAATACACGCTTTTCACACGCGTTTGAAACAAGAACTGAGAAACAGAATAGTTACGAAAACTAAAATCCAACAACTTTTCTTGCAGATTTAAAATAGTGATTTTCGATTATATACTTGAAATCGTGAGCAATTTTTCCAGTTTCAAACTCATTCAGAACTCGTTGCATATGCCATACAACCATACAGTCCCAAGCCAGAGGCTGGAAATTCCATGGAAATTTGTTGGCCACCAATTTGCGTCCGTAAGACTTCCGAGTCAAAACGGGAACTTGATTTATACCAAGCATGCATAAATTTCTTTGTTTTCGACCGCTTGCGCAATTATATGAATGTGTCAGCCATTCTTTATGTCTATGGTTTAATAAACGACAATCTACCCTATAAGTAACAAAATGTGGTTAAAAGCTTCAAATATTGTCCTTTGTCGCTGAGAAACCTTTCAAAAACTGTACTCAAGATCAGAAAGTAAGGCATGGCGTTTCCAAAATTTAGCTTAGGCAAAAAGGAAGATTAAGTTTTTAGTTGACCTCGGTGTTCGGCTTCAAAAAAAGTCGACTACATCTCAAGAACTAGTTCCCCGTGCTATGATCATATCCCCCTTTGAATATAACCTCAATCGTATTCTGTCGAAGTATTAACGAAAAAAAGCATCGATCACATAAGATCGATTAGTTTTTGAAATATATTCTCTTGGGTTAAAAAGAACTTTAGGGTTACAAAAACGCAAATTGTCAAGGGTAAATTGTCGTTCTACCTGCTGATGCCGGGGTCACTGTAGGACTCATCGGAAACATTTTTACGCCATCCGCCAGGAAAATTGACCTGTGGGTTGAAGTTGAGAATTTGAAAGAAGGATTCTTCTGTTGCAAAATAAGGAGTCAAAGATGCATTCAAGGCCTGCGCTATAGGTTGTTCAAGTGCAAACTTGACCGCTTCGAAGTTGAGCAGCCAGTGAGCCGATCCCTTGTACTTAGTCAAGTTCCGTGGTAAGGTCTGAGGCAGTCGCTCAGGAAATGTCAAACTCCCTATAAAAGTTCGATAAATCAGTAAATACACTCTCATTCAAGGTTCTCTGACGTTTGTTCTATTAATTATTTCTTATGGTAGATGAGCTCCGATTTCCGTTAAAAAATATACTATAAAAATACTGAAATTTGATAATTAAGCTACTGCTCTGCTACAACTTGAGAAACGAAGTCATCCGACTAGCAGCAATCCTAACGGGAAGTGGCGTGACAGTGGCAACGGAAGGGGGGAGAGGCCACCTTCTGCCCCTTCCTCAACTATGTTTCTCCCCTCCCTCTAGAAAAACGACTGCGGAAGACTTGGATCAATAAACGTTATTTGGGATCATTACTGAGCTATATCAGCTCGCAGCGTACGTCTCACAAGTACTGTTTGTAAAAGTGATACATGAAATCAATAAACAGACGTGAGATCAAGTTGGATCCGTGAAGTTTGCTAAGAATGTAGACCAGTTCCATGTTTGTAAGCAGTGGGAATTCTTCGCCTGTTAGGTTGATGTAGTACTTCCAATATCCTCTCTTGACCAGATCTTCCATGCAGGAGAACTCTGACGTCAGAACTGTGTGTTCTCCCCATACGACGTCTACTGGGTTGGAAGCCAGGAAAACATGGTTGGAGAAGCACTCCACTAGTTTGGCCATCTAAAACAGAAATTTATTTGGTGAGTATTTCAATAACAATATTCATCGACTACTTTTGACAAATGTACCTAAGAAACTATTCTAATACTTTTAGGCCAGCACCAAATATGTGAAACCGCACAGACAAAAATGCCCTTAAGTGAATTCAAATCCATTTTAAGATAATTTTTAAACGGTTCAAGTCAATTCTTAGTGCATATGAAACAAAAACGGATTAAAAATTATATAAAACACACGCTTTCAATATTTTTCTGAGCCAAATTCGAAAAACTAGTGCAATACTTGAATCAGTAGTGCAATATCTGAAACATTAGTGCAATATTTGAAACACTAGTGCAATTTTAAAGCTTTACACTCGTGTTTCAAATAATGCACTAGCTTATCAAATACAAAATTGAAACACTAGTGCAATAACTTTCCCAGAACAATCATCTACAACAAATTAGAAAGTAAAAATTCACATTTGAGCGTGGTTTTTTTTCAAATGTGGGTTTTTTTTTGCTTTTCAAATGGCAGATCAGCAACAGCCTATATTGCATCTCGAACTTTATTCACATCTCGCTCTTGCGTGTCTCGATTTTTTCAAAATATTCTCGATGCAATATGTAGCTGTTGCTTGTCTACTTCATCAATTGATATGTCTGGAAAAACTAAATTAGATGTTTGTGCATGAAAAGCGATTAAATTAGTTTGGATTTAGCTGTAAGTAGCCCAATTTGGACTTTGGCCGATTGAACCAAAATGTACTATGGCCATTTATTTTATCTATCCAAATCCCACCGAAGTCAATTTAAAATCATTTTTTTTCTGGAGTTGTCAGAAGGTCAATTTGGTAGCCATAAGCAGTTTTCAGTTTAACTAATTTACTATTTCTGCTCCAGCTTAATTTTAGTTCTCAAGAAAAATCTCCGTCAGTGTTACAATGACCTTCAGCCACTTGAAGAAACGTAGGTATCGCAAATCATCAGTGACAGCAAAAAACCTATGAAATTTTGTGTTCTAATAGTTCCAGCGATAATGAAAAAACTTTTTAAACAAAACCCTTCAATTTCTACTTCTTAGATCAACATCTAAGCACTATTTTCTAAAACGAATCAGCAAAAGTACAATAAAACACAATTAGGAACCATAAATTTTGCTTTAGATTTTTCGCATTTAGTATTCATTTTTGTCTCTTAAGGTCAAACGTCGGCATAAAAAATTTAACTGAAAAGCATAATTTACCAATTTCATTACCAATTTATTCATGTTATGTAGGGGCTGAACAAGTCAAGAAAATCTGCACACAACCTGTATAAAATGCCCAGTATTCAGAAAATGCATGAAACAACAACTCAATTTTCAAACAACTTTGCAATCGCCTAAAAATCCTCCATTTAAGACTCTAATTTCAATTTGGTAAAACATTTAATGTGGACGCTTAAGCTGTAAAAAGAAAAAACTAAGCAAAGTTGCTTTTATCAACGTCAGGCTCTGAATGTTCTAGGTGTCATTCAGGGCATTTGAATTTATTTTAATTTCCAAGTTACGACAAAACTTGGAGAAAAAAAAATTTAAAAAATTGGAAAATTTCAACCGGCACATCCAACAAATTGATTTTGAACAATGCTTGTCTAAATAAGCGTGCTTCAGCTTAAATAAAAAATACATTCGAGGCTGGATTTTTTCGGCGGGCATTTTATGCGCTTCTGCAAAACTTGACGCGCTTTATTTATGCTAAATTGGCCAAATTAGTCCCAATTTGAAAATCCCACGACTTCAAGAAAACAAATCACAGGTGTAGGAGTTTTTTTTGAACCAAAAAATTTGGATAAGTTCTTGCTTAATGAGAAGGTTTTGTCATAACGGCAAAACCAAATTTGAAATTTCATTTGAATTGCATTATCTTCTTCATATTTGATTATTATTTGTTAACTGGTACTTAGTTATAACCTTGATGCGTTCATTTTCTCCGGCGGAGAGAATGCAATTTCACTTTTTAATGTTATAACTTCGAGATTAATTCTTTTTTAACCGACATTTTTATCTGTACGTAAGTAGAATTAGCGGTAACAAAGGAACACTTCATCATGGCGCAGTCAAACAGTAACGAATCAAACGTGAGAGGTATGCCTTCATTTTGGCAAAACCATACGGTGGACCCACCAATTCCCTGGGAGGAGTGGAGCGATCTGTTCCAACTGGCAGTAATCGCAGCGAAAACATCGACATAGACAACCTTCTAAACCCGATGGAGCGATACCACACACACCCGCCACTATTGGAAAATCCACCGGAGGGCGAAGCGGATACCCAAAAACTGACCCGTCTGGAAAAAAATATCCGTGAACAAAAGAGACATGAAGATGAAGAGACAACTTCGATAAAGTCGGAAACAAAAAGATTCAGCGGCATGAGAATTGAAGAAGCTGACAAAAACTCCGATCAATCTTTTTTAGCCCTCGGAAACGAAGGAAAGAAAATCCTAAAAATCCTCTAAACTTCTGAGTTCTAACGTTCGAAAGACACAAACTATTGAACAGAAAACAGAGAGACAGAGAATCGTTGGAGCATTTCTTGGGAGCCCTCGCAGAAATGACAAAGAAGTGAAATATATCCGCATCAGAAGACAAATGGATACGAAAATTTTAAATTAATATTATGAAGACCTCGGACATTCAACGGAAACTCCTAACAGAAGCTCTACCACCTCTAGAAGCACTAGACGTGGCTCTCATTGACGAAAGAAAGAATAAAGAACCACATGAGAAGGACGAGTAATTGTAAATCCAACGGATCTTCTTGAACCAAACCTTTAAATCATTTTATGAAAAAAGGGAACCAACTCTAAACATCGAACGAAGCAACAATTGTATGAAATGCGGCGGAACTTTTTCAAAAGGACACCTGGAAGTGGGCCCTGCTAAGGACACAAATTGTACATCCTGTAAAATCCGCGAACATTTCATCAGGCTATGTAAATCAGGTCGTAAAAACGTAATTTTAGGAGATAGTCAAACTGTACATAATACAGATTGTAATTATCCCTCTGAATAACCGGATGTATATAACGACCGTGTAAATAGAGAATTTTGTGGAGTAATCAATGCATGGTCAGAATTCGGACAGAGCGATAACGATGATTACTCTGTATTAAATGTGACCACTAATTACGATAACCAAGGAAAAGAATTAAAGAAATCACTAACAGCCAAGTGAACTTCCTGAAACGGAATGTCCTTCCTTCATGAATTGAAGCTACAAGACCCCTACTTAAAAAATTTTCCGGTGTATTAGTCGGCGAAAGAGCTTTACTATGGGTTCACAGACAACGCGATTAACATCACTGAAAACTTAATTTTACCTATACTTTCGAACGGATTGTCTCATGGAGAATGATACTTTTTTCTGACAGAAGGACTCGAAACGAATCTTCTTGTAAACGACTTTTTACCCAAAATGAGAATCGAAGTATCTCGGAAGCAGTTCCCACACTACTTTAACAAGATAACATGTTCATCCATTAATCTAATGTCTTCACCCAACAAAGAGAAAGAAACAGATTTTACAACCAAGACTTTTAAACAATTATTCCTTCGGAATGGAAAAATTAAAAACCAAACAAAAATAACACATTTCCACGAACATTTGAAACCGATACAACTAAAATGCAGACGTCTTCCCCTCCATTTACTTGATTCAGTAAAGACAGAACTAAACCGACTTAAATCCGAAGGACATCAAAAAGTTGGAAAGTTGCGACGAGGTTAGGTTTACTAGTCCAATAGTTATCACCCGCAAAAAGGATAAATTGATCAAATTAGCTCTAGATTCAAAATTCAATTACAAAAAAACTTACTCTCGAATTTCAAACGATTATGACGGAGAAGTTTGGTTTACCAATTTGGACGTAAAGAACACATACAGCCAACTTTTTTCAGATAACTTTACCAGCAGTCAATGCAATTTTAGCTTGGTAGGCGGAGACACAACTGGCACTTACCAATTTTTGAAGTAGTTTTTATGGACTCGACAATATACCGAATGAATTTCAAAGAGTCATGGAATCAACAATCAGAAATATTCCTTTTACAAATTCTTACCTCGACGTTATTTTAGTTGCTTCCAAAGGAAGTTGTACTGAACACAAGAACATTGTTCATAAAATTTTACCGAATTTAGAGAATTACAATTTCGCAGTCAAATGGCCAAAATGTAAACTCTTTCAAAAAGAAATACAGTGGCTTGGCTTTAAATTATCTAAATCAGGGATCGCCCTTTAATTGACAAAACCAAGGCTATCAAAGATATCCCAATTCCAAAAAACTTTAAAAAATTAGGATCATTCTTCGGGTCAACAAACCAATCTATCAAATTTGTGCCAAACTTAGCATCCCTCGAAAGTCCCTGAAGACCTCTACGAAATAAGAAACTAATTTTTCCATGGAACGAAGATCACACAAAGGCATTCGAGAGAATCAAATTAGAAATAGTCAGCCTTACCGAAAACACACACTTTGATGTCAAACGTAATACGAGAGTAAAAACTGACGCCTCTCAAAATGGAATTGGTGCCTCCCTCAAACAGCTTCATGTAACTGACTGGAAAACAGTCACTTTCGTCTCAAGATTTTTAAACCAACATGAATCGAAATATTCCACAAATGAATTGGAATTGCGGGGAAACGTTTGGGCAGTAAAGTTGTTTGGGCAGTAAATGTAATATATCCGCATCAGAAGACAAATAGATACGAAATATTTTTATTAATAATATGAAGAACTCGGACATTCAACGGAAACTCCTTACAGAAACTCTACCACCTCTAGAAGCACTAGACACGGCTCTCATTGACGAAAGAAAGAATTAAGAACCACAAGAGAAGGACGAGTAATTTTAATTCCAACGGATCTTCTTGAACCAAACCTTTAAATCATTTTAATGAAAAAAGGGAACCAACTCTAAACATCGAATTGAGCAACAATTGTATGAAATGCGGCGGAACTTTTTCAAAAGGACACCTGGCAGTGGGCCCTGCTAAGGACAC